CCTAAGAACTTAGAATTTTCTAAATTCTACAAACGACGTCGAACCACGTCAAATCTAGTCTGAATTACCTCAAATTTTACACATAGGTCACAAATGACAATATGAACCTACATCCACTTTCGGAAATCCATTCCGAGCTCGATAGCAAAAATTTCCACTATCGGCTGAAATCGCTGAAAATCTAACTTTCGCCAATTCAAGCCTAAATCTACTACAGACCTCCAAAACATATTCCGGGCGCGCTCCTAAGCTTAAAATAACTCAACGGAGCTAACAGAGTCGACGTAATTCTATTCTGGATCCGTCTTCACACAGTTCCGACTACGGTCCAAATTCTAAGACTTAAGCTCTCATTTAGGGACTAAGTGTCCCAAAATACTCTGAAACTCAAAACCAATCATTCCGGTAAGTCACAATAGCAGAAATAGATATGAAAAAAGCAGTTAATAGGAGTTTGGGGCTCTAACTATCAAAACAACCGACCGGGTTGTTACAAAGCTACCATCCTCGGAATCGGGTTGACTTTGATACCATTCCTCCAAATGTTTTTGATAGGCTTCCTGAAATTAAAATGTTAGGCATTAAGAAATAAGGACCTATTTGTTTCCACCAGGAAAAATACAATGCCATCAATAAAAGAAATGTAACTACTGATGTAAATTTGAATGACATCAATAAAATAGATGTGGTTTGGCATTATAGATTTGGGCATATTCCTTTTTCTAGAATGAAACATATTTCTAAACTTGGGTCACAGTTATCTTCTAAGCAATCTTTTTCTTGTCCAATATGACCATTAGCCAGACAGACTAGATTACTTTTTTCTGATAGTAGTATACAAACCACAAAACCTTTTCAATTAATACATATTGATACCTGGGGACCATATCATTCACTTACATATACTGGCTCCAGATATTTTATAACCATTGTTGATGACTTTTCAAGAGCCACTTGGACCCATCTGATGGGAGCCAAAATTAATGCCTTTGACCTACTAAAAGCCTTCATTGCAATGACTGACACCCAATTTCAATTAAAATTTCAATTTGTAAGGAGTAACAATGCCCTAGAATTAGGATCCAACATTATGGGTCCAAATTCTTTTCTAAAAAAGGAATTTTGCATCAGAAAACATGTCCTCATACTCCACAACATAATGTGGTTGTGGAAAAGAAACACAGACACCTTCTGGAAACTGCAAGAGCTCTTCTTTTCCAATCTGGCTTCCCTCTTAGATTCTGGGGAGATTGTATACTAACTGCAACATATTTGATCAATAGATTCCCTTCTAGTGTCTTAAAGGATAAAAGCCCCTATGAAATTTTACATAACAAATTCCCAACTTACTCCAATCTTAGAGCCTTTGGTTACTTGTGCTACTCTACTATTCCAAAGCCTCATAGAGGTAAGCTGCAACCTAGAGTTATTCCTTGTGTGTTCTTAATTTATCCCTTTATAAAGAAAGCCTATAAGTTGTATAACTTACATAATAAAACATATTTTGTCTCCAGAGATGTTGTATTTCATGAACATCTATTCCCCTTTATTAAGTCTGATTCTATTTCTCCTACTATGACCAATTTTTCATTTTCTGCCTGTTTTGACCACACTGCTAAGCAAACTTCCATTTCATCTCATGACTAATTCTCTCATGTACATCCTGAAGTACATAATTCTTTTCCTGACACCTCTCTTGCTCCTACAGTGCCTGGGAACGTTTCCCTTTCTTCTCCTAGTTCCTCTCCTTCTCTTGATTTTCCTTCTTCCTCTAACCCTGAATCTGACTTTCCTTCTTTAAGGAGATCCTCTAGACCTCATAATCCTCCTACTTACCTGCAGAATTATGTCTGCACACTCCCATCCTATTGGTCCAGGTCTGCAAATTCACCTGTTATGTCTACTTTTAGTGAACCTTATGTCTTTTGAGCCCAATACTTATTCTCAGGCAACAGTTGTCCCTGAGTGGCAGGAAGCTATGAGAAAAGAGTTTGAGAAATTGGAGGCAAATGGAACTTATTGCAAATGAGTATACAAAATTACGTACAAAGCTAATGGGAGTATAGAAAGATATAAAGCTAGACTTGTGGTTAGGGGTGACACACAAGTTGAGGGTATAGATTTTCATGAAACATTTTCACTTGTTGTTAAAATGTCTAATGTGAAAACATTAGTTGTTGTAGCTGTGAAACAAAATTGGCCTTTATTTCAGCTAGATGTTAATAATGATTTCTTACATGGGGATTTAGATGAGGAAGTGTTTTTGAAAATTTCACATGGTCTTTCGGTTTCTTCTCCTACACAAGTTGTTCCATCTCTTTGTTCCTCTACTTCTCTGGTTTGCAAACTAAAGAATTTTTTATATGGTATAAGGCAAGCTTCAAGGCAATGGTATGCCAAGTTGTCTCAACCTCTGTCCTCTAGAGGGTATGTGCATTCTTTAAATGATTACTCCATGTTTACTAGAGGTTCTGGTGATGCTTTGGTGATTTTAGTAGTGTATGTTGATGATATTATCATCACTGGGACTGATTTGTGTGAAATTATTGTTGTAAAAGCTTTTCTTGATCAATTCAAGATTAAAGACCTAGGCCAACTTAATTATTTCTTGGGTATTGAAGTCTTGTATTCTGAGAGTGTTGTGTTACTTCATCAGAAAAGATTTGTCCATGACCTGCTTTCAGAGTTCCACTCTTCTGCCTACTCTTCTGTGGTGTCTCCTCTTGAAATGCATGAGAAATTGAAGGCAGGCAGTGGTGATCCCTTGCCTAATCCTGAGACTTAGAGGTGCCTAATGGGCAACCTAAATTTCTTAACCCCTACCAGGCCTGACATTTATTTTGCAGTACAGCATTTGAGCCAGTTTATGCAGAAGCCTTGCATTCCTCACATGCAAGCTGCATTGCGGTTACTCAGGTACCTTAAGAGTACTCCTGATTTTGGTATCTTCTATAACAACTCTTCTGATCTCTCTCTTAGTGTTTACTATGATAGTGATTGGGGTGCTTGCCTAGATAGTAGGAAATCTGTTGGTGGGTTTTGCATATTGCGGGGGGAGGCAGTCTTGTGGGTTGGAAATCAAAGAAACAATTTGTGGTGTCCTTGTCCTCTGCTGAAGCTGAATATAGGTCCACGAGTAAGGCTACTACTAAGATAACTTGGGTTTGCCGGCTCCTTTCTGATTTTGGCATTCTTTTTTCTTCTCTTGTTCGTTTGTTTTGTGACAATCAGGCCACAATTCACATTGCTAAAAATCCTGTTTTCCATAAGCGCACCAAGCATATTGAGTTGGACTGCCATTTTGTTCGCACCAAGCTAAATGAGGGGCTGCTTCAGTTGCTCCACACCTCCAGTGCCACCCAACTTGCTGACATGTTCACCAAACGTTTGGTTGGGGCTGTTGGGATTGTCTCACCCTCCAACTTGTCGGGGGAGGGGGGGGGAGGGGTTGTTAAGACTTATAAGGATGATGTTACTTAGAATGGGATCCTTTCTTTTTCTTTTCTTCTTCTTTTATATTGGGCACAGGAGCCCACGTTTGTAATTATGGACTTTTTTAGCTAGCTTAGTTAATTTTGTTATATAGTGGACTGACCCACTTCGTTGGTCAATTAAGAAATGTATTGAGACAAAATATGAGGACACATTTTTCTAACAGAAGCTAGAAGCTTCCTTTTCTCTCTCTACACGTAGATAGAATTTCATCATTCTGCTTTGAATCCAAACATTATCAGGGAGAAGCAGTTGCGAGAAGAGAAAAAGTCACAGCGGCAAAGAGATAGAGAAGTGGCTCGAATCGCCATTGAAAGCCAAATATTTAGGTAGTTTAGACTTTAGATCATTGTGAAATAGTTACCTGAGACGATTGTAACAGTTTATAATGTTTTTTTAATAAAGAAGATAATTTTACGTGTACTTTTCATTTTTATCTCCCGCTGGATTGATGTAATGCTTCTATATACTAATTAGAGCTCAGGACCGTTTCGCGTTTTTTCTCATTGAAAGCGTTATTTACTACATTCGTAGTTGCTTTCATGTTGGTATTATATAGTATCGTACTAGTTAGCTACTGATTAAAATCATACTTATTTCTTTTGTGATGCATTCTGGAAACAACAACAACAACAACTCAGTATAATCCCACTAGTGGGGTCTGGGAAGGGTAGTGTGTACGCAGACCTTACCCCTACCCTGAGGTAGAGAGGCTGTTTCCAAATGACCCTCGGCATCCTTCCCTTCCAAGAACTTCCCACCTTGCTCTTGGGGTGTCTCGAACTCACAACCTCTTGGTTGGAAGTGGAGGGTGCTTACCATCAGAGTAAGGTGGGAAAACATAATATGGAAATTAATTCACCCAAGAAGATTCTCCTCTCCAGCTGAAAATTCCGCTTCACATTTCGCCAATCTTGGTCTTCAAGCTCTAATTAGGCTAATTACTTGCTCTGTAAATAACATGATCTCTCTGTTACTGACCTGCTATGTTACTTGTACATCCCTGTGTAAAAGACTTGGAAGAATGAAAGGTGAAAGATAAGGTTTGAACTGCTGCATAAGTAGGCCTGATGATAAATAAAAAATGCGAACATCTCTTTTAGTATCTGGGTGTATAAGTTAAACTCATATGTCATTGCATAAACCAATGGGTTGGTAGGTATTTAATGATGGTTCTGATTCCATTTTGATGTCTCATATTTTCAACTTTGTTCCCTCGTTACGAATACGTATTATTTGTCAATCATTAGTAAAATCTGCAATTGAGAACCATGGTGTAGCTTCCAGTCGACATTTAAACAAAATTGACCACCAAAGTTCATTAGGAATTGTTTTCTACGGCAAAACACGGAACGAGCATCAGATATCATGACTCAAGAAAAGTTTTAGAGATAGTCTTCTCCATAGATACCAATACTCTAATTGATTTTAATTGTGAATTATTAAAAAGTTATCCATTACTTCCTACATCCAATATAGTTAGATGAAATAATACATTAAACAAAAAGTACACATAACTTCCTATATCCAATATAGTTTGGAGACCAATCAATGTTGCACCCCTGTATAATGGCAATCCAATAAAAATGTGTGAAGTTTCTATGATTCAAATGTACAAGAAAAGATAACTGAAACAAAGCAATGCTACAGTGCTTAAATAACCATAATACAGACTAGTTCAACTCTTTATTTCTGTCGAACGGGAACTAGAATCAGGTGCCGCAGTATATTACCTTTACCTTGAAATGCTGCACCTAGTGTGGACTTCTCTGTCCGTATCATGCTGTAAGTATGTAATTTCAACTCAATTCCTGTGCCACGAGTATCCTAACAAGCAAAACCTAGGCAAACCTCCAGCCTTGTGATCTCCCCTTCCGGCTCTTCAAGTGGGGACGGGGACTATTCATCCTATTTTTAGTCTCCCGTTCAAGCTTTGCAGTAAATAAATTTCCAAGAGGCACCTAAAGCAGCGCAAACTAGCCCTGAAAGAGCATCCTGATGCATGAATTTCTTTATCATGCTGCTTCTATTTCACCTGGGAAATTAACAGAATTTAAAAAAGGGAAAATGTGAGAAGCGCATCATTATGTTGCTGTTCTCTTTACAAATTTAAAAACTAAACACTGAAGTTACAAGAAGAAAACCTGGCAGCAGAGATAGCTTTGACCCATGTATGGTAGATTCCATAATCTTTCACTCTGCAACAGATCAATCGAGGATTACCTCATGTTTCTCAACTATTCCTAGATTAGTAGAGAACACTGAAGGAAGAACTTGACAGCATAAAAAATAAAACAATACGTATCCATTTCAAGGAACTTCTAATAACATAGCAATAACAAAAGCAGATATTGGAAATCTTGGTAAGCTGCATGGCGAAGATATTCACCAAAGCTCAGATAACATGTAAGAAAATAGACGTCGTGAGATGAGGATTGCCCAAAAACTGTATACGGAGACAACACACTCCCTCAACCAATATGAGACATCTTGATTAGAGGGCAGTCCCATTCATATATAATGTAATTAAGGATAGTTCTAATCAAGGCCCAAGCAAAAACAAGGGCCTAACTACATGCCCAACAGAAATAAGGCCGACATTATATATGTCGACTAGAATAGTTCGCATCTGTAAGTCACTTACAAGAATATATCATCAGCATCAACTTCTTGCAACAAATTGACGAAAAAGCGGAATCCATCTGGACTAACATCTCTACACAGAAGTCCTGCAAAATATGATAACTTAAGCACCGCTTACTATGAGTTAAGAATTAAAATCTGCAGAACATACCTTTGGCCTCGGCTGCAAGAAGGTGCTCTTTGGCCATAGCTGGAGCAATTCCCAGAGTCATTGCAGCATCACTAGCAGTGATCCCTGCTCGTAAAGTGTCCGGTGTAGTAACCAAAGATCTTATTCTAGTAAATACCTGCAATTGATAGCAGAATTGTGGGCATTAAGGGTATAGAAACAAATATTATACACCGGGTCTATTTAACAGGAAACTGAAAAAGGAGAGATTCCAAAACTTCAACAGACTGTTAAAAAGTCTATTTTGTAGTTGTCCTCTTGGTTATGTTAAGGAGAGGTATTCTTGGAATTCATTTAGGAGTCCTTTAAGGTATGAAAAGTCGTCATCACCTATGGATCTCAGTATGACATAAGTGATCATATAGTGATGTCAAAACCGTGTCCTACGTTATGAATAAGTAACTTGTAACTTATTTTCTCCTGGTTGAGCAATTATTTCCTTAAATCGTCCTCTTGCTGGCTGTCTGTCTACTCCAAGCCAATATAGAATGGTCTAAGACCTTCTCATACCCCATTAAATGCCATTGGACATTATATAATTTAAGATCCTCTAAGTTTTGGGGTTCACACATGTAATAGGATATGGACTTACAAGACCTATAAATTCCTCTCTAATACCGCTATGTTATACTATTATATGACTCAACACTCCGAACACCCTATCAGTCTAAAACGTTAAACAAGACCTGATTACCTATTCAGTATAATAGTCTCCTTCAGCAATCACTTGTATAGCAATTCTACTTTGACTATGGATTAAACTATAAGTTGCATCATGAATACAACCAGAAATCTACTACTTGAGAGAGGATAATTGATGACAGATATAATCACAAGAACTTGGTATGGCCAAAAAACAGAGGGAGGACAATGGCAAAGAATTACTTAGAAGACTATGGACCCTTACATTAAGTTCAAGAAACACAATAGGTAGTAGTAAGAGAGATTAGACAAGACCAGAAAAAGCAAGAACTATATTGGCAAAAAGGAGATGCTCAAGTGAAGCCAACACNGTGTGTGTAGGGAAAAGGGGGAGGCATACACGTCAAACTTCTCCCAGAGAGAACAAGCACGCAGCAAATCATCGGGCGAGATCAATTCTGTAAAATCGCAACAATAAAGTTATAACAGCCTGTAATGATACTACCAAAAGAAAGAAGAAGAAACTAAAGTGACAGACTTTTGAGTTGAAGACTTATTAGTCAATAGGTCGAGGTGCGCACAAGCTGGACCGGACAACACGGTTATTAAAAAATAAATAAAGGAAAAAGTTTCCAGGATTACCTGTTCCGCGAGCCCGATTGAAAAGGCAATAGATGTCAATGAGATTAATCATTCCTCCAGATCTCTCCAGTGGAATTTTGACAAAATCTGCCAACTAAGTACCGACATATTATTATTTTTTTGCATATTTACTGAAAAGCAAATATTTGCAAGATAACAAGCCAATTAGCAATATTACATTTCCTTGACAAAAATAATTAAAAAATTAAGAAAGTGATAAGTCTGCCTTCTTCTACCCATGCCTCATATGTGCTTGTGAAGATTGGCGTCCACCTTTAGTTGCGATTACAAGCAAGGCTAGCTCGTAAAAATGGATACACTTACTAATATAGCTACCAGGAAGAAATACCTGCCGAGATAATTGTTGATGATACAAAGCACCAGCAGATTCTTTAGTAACTGGAGACACAATACCAACACTTAATAGTAATTCTTGCATCTCTTCTTTGGTGCCAATTTCCTCATCATTTGTGCCAGTGGCCTGACTAGTTGAGCCAGAGAGAAGCTTTGTTCTCATTCTCTCAGCTAGGATCACCATTTCTTTAGCCTTACCCTGTGCATGAGAATTATATCAACTGATAGTGGAGAGATGCGCACGTAAAAAACTTAAGTTGTCTACCACTAGTATTATAATTGAAACAAATTTATACACAGACGAACTCTTTCATACTTCATTTCAGAAACTAAATGGCACATGTTCCAACTTGTAAACACTAGAAGTTCCTTCAGTGCCTTTACATATTAGAAAACTAAAAAAGGGAAGTTCTATTCGTGCCAAGACAACAGCGTGTTAAAGCTAATACCAAAATTTATCGCACCCATTTTGTTACCTTTTCAAAAAATAAATAAATAGATTTATCGCACCCATTTGTTACATATCCACAAAATCACTGAAATCAACACATAAAATAACTAAATAACATAAAAAGACATGAACTTTAGCATACCATGAGAGCATTCAAATCCTGAAAAGCATCCTGCAAGCTCTTATCAGTATTCTCCCACATCTCCTGCTCTTTCCTCAATATCCCAGCTACACCAACAACCGGCATCTTCACTGCAAATCCTACATCACCACCCGACCCATGACCCGAACCCGAAGCCTCCGACCCAGATTTTACTACCCGATCTTCCCAAGCTTTCCTTCTCCATGCTTCCCAAAACTTCTCTAAAAACGAGTCAATGTCCGATTTGCCCCTAAGAATCAAAGTAATCACCACCACCATCCCTTTAAGTGAGGCCTGAAATCGGAATCTAGGGCTTGCAAACATTGACTTGATGGATTTTTTGAGGGAGAAGATGTGAGTGACAGCTGAAAGAGGGATGAATACAGCAGTAGGAGGGAAGGTGGTGGATGATTCTTGGACCCAAATAAGACGGTGAGTTGTGAGAATGAGGAGGCCCGATTTAAGGTGAGGGAAGTTTGGGTTTTCTTCAGAAAGGAGGTCTACGGAGGAGAGAAGGCTGCACTCTACTTCACCTGCTTCAAGCACCGGCCTCCCACTCCGGGTCAACTGTGCCGGGAGTAGCCAATTTCCGGCCATATTAGAATTGTGCCTTTGGTTTTTTTTCGAGGGAAATTTGTGAAGCAGAGGACAAACTGAACAAATTATAAATTGACTTTACAGATCAAATTCGCAGTTGGGTCCTTTGCTTGTGATACGTAAAATTCAAAGAAAAAGTGATATATT